TTTTGGGGCGACGAGCCTGCTTTTGTGACTGATGAGTCTAGAGGAGGATGGTCTGCTTAGTGCCTGAGTTACCCTTCCTGCTGTTTGTTGGCATTTGCACTGTCTTCAGCTGCATTTTACTGCTTCTGGGGGTTCATTTTGCAGCACAGCGGGGATTCGTGTATAAAACAGTTTATGGGAACGTTTCGGAGATTGGGGAAACCCTCAAATTCAGCACTTAAATGATATTAGATTTTTAACAAGAGTTCATAAATAAATTATATGAATATGACAGTTCATTTTTACATCCCAGAGAAAAGAAAGGTAGCTCCATCCGAAAGATTTCACTGTATCCAATAGGATTCTAATATCACTAAGGATCCTTTCTCTAATTAATATCAATCAGATTGGACCCCTCCCTTTTTTATGTGACCATTAGCATTTCATTTGACATGGTTTCCCGGCGTAACAAACTGCTCCTGTTTTCTTCCATCAAATAAACTGCCTACCCCTGTATCCAAGCAACCCCGTTGTCAGCTTATCCACACAGCTGCCCAGGTGAGCTTGTCTGTGCCTGTCGTGGAGAACCAGCCCCCCCAATGTTTTGTTGTCTTGTCGCCACAATGCCGTGGTCGGTGAAAACGTCCAGACAATTGGCCGATTAGTAACACAGTTTCCAAATTTAACTGCAGTCACGGATCCTGAGCGGTGATATCGTCAGATATGGTAGAGAATTTTATTAGAGCAGAGCGACAGTCTGAGTTTATATGTCGTCCAAATGGGCTGAAAATAGATAAGTAAATGAATGGCTGATTTTACTATCAACTTTTCTGACATGTTTAGTCCTCTGAAGTAGGAGGGGGGGAAAATACGAGAAAAAGAGGATCCTCATTTGAAATCTGTCTGTTTTAATATAAACTTGTGCTAACATACATAATGCTGTAATAAGCAAGTGTGTTATGTCCCCCCCACAATCACACAAGTCATTTAAATTCCATTCTGTTAAGATTACAATCGCACACATTTGTTAAAAAAAGCACACTACAATACAATAATTACTCCCAAACCACATTTTGGTTTTGTTTCTACTTTTTTTGTTGCTTTATGTGATTACAGGTCTGTTTTTGTCCTGCCACCCAAATAATGTTTATTTATTTATTATTATTTTTCTTCTTTTATTCAGGGTTGGCTGTCTTGTTTGTCTTGTTTTTGCTTCAACAATTTTTTAAAAGCTCAATAAATATGCTTTGACAAATAAAAGTAAATTACTCCCAAACACTCCCGGCGTCTAAGGCCTGACCTGAATCCGTCCCAGGACCCCTGCAGGGTACTGAAGCCCTCAGCTAAAAGGTCGAATCATCTCGTATTTTGCACTTTAAAAAAAACAAATACAGAGCAAAGTCGCAACACGCAAAATTTGTCTGCAGATAAGAAAAATTTGTCAGTCAAAACAGTGGAAACGTTTTCAAGAAACTCCGTCAAGAAGGCAGTTTGGCTCAAAGTGTGGCAAAAGAGTCAGCCATTTCTAAAGTTTCAAGAAAAACAACCATAAACCATCACTAATACCTAAGTCTCAGAAAACAACATTGGACTGTTTAAAAGAAAAAGAAAAAAAAAGCAGTCATGGACTGTGAAAAATTGTTTGAAGGTGATATTCAGTGATAAATCAAAAATGAACCATTGTATTTTTCCAGTGAAATCCAAATACAATTTTTAAGTGGAAATTGAAAGGAAAGGCAGTAATTGTACAGCCTGCTTTACAAAGCCAAAATGCGTCACATGTTATCTGTTTTCAATAGCCATAAAACACCTTAATGGACATCTCCAAAGATATTTTTTTTCTTCTATATTTTGTCAGAAATTGCAAACAACAGGGTAATGAGAAGACTTTCCAGCATGAAAGGCTCGGGGATTGTTGCTAGAGGGGAGGGGGTCCAAAAATCCAAGTAAAGACGAGACGGGGGGTTGGAGGAAAAAGGCTGGTCAACAATGACATCGAAGGCTTTGATGGCGTATAAAGGCTTTCCAGTGAAATGGCCAAGAATGAGTGCAAACACTTTGCTGGTATTTGTGCCAAAAGACCAGTCACAGATATGAATAATGCTTTTATTAATCTAAAAGAATATTTAATAAGATTTTTTTCGTAATGTACGCAAGAGCAGAATTTCTCGAATCTACTCTTGGGAGTGAAAAGGAAAAGTCAATTCCTACTGAGAGCTTAGTGGACTGTACTTTTTGCCCCCTCCTGCACATGTAAACCTGTCCAGCTCTTCACGTTTTGTTTACGGCCTGATTTCTTCCGGCCAGGCCCCTTACAGCCTCCTTATCCTCTGGGAAGTTTCCACTCGCGCCTGCCCTGCCCTCTCTGACACCACACCGATTTAAAAACTTCCCCCGGGGGCCATGACAATGACTAACCTGCTCTGCCTCTGGCCCTACGCTGGCTCGGCTTTTAGGGCCCCATTTGTGAATTCTCACGGAAGATTAGCGGGGACTGGAGCCGTTCCGGGTTCATTCGATTCAGATTGTGATCTCCAGCAGCGTGGCTCTGCATTATGCAGCTCGGTGTCTCGGGGTGGTGCAGTAGGTTTGATAAGGGTCCGCTCAGGTGTGGCCCTCTGTGGTTTGGCTGTTGCCGTAGAGATGTCCCCGGTTTGGTTTATTTCCCACAAAAAAAACATTTCTCTGTATCTCTTTCTCGCCCTTGTTCCTGCCCCGACCCAACCCACCCCTGCCCTCTGTCTCTCCTTCTTTTTCCCTACCTTTACCCACCCCCACCCCCACCCCCTCCGCACACCGCGCTGACAAGCAGCCCGGAGCTATGGCCGCAGAAGAGGTAACGTGTGGCGTTTTCTCTGGGGTTCTGCTTGCCATGCCAGCCTTGTCCTGCGCCCAGGGTCGTCGGGTGGGGGCTGGGAGGGAGGGGAGGGAGGGGATGGAGGGGGGGGGGGGG